CCTCAGCCAGGTTGGAGCTCCTATAATGTAATTTTAAAGCTTAACTTTCATAAAAGCTACCTCCTAAATTTTGGAATACTAACTTCTTGTGGTAATATTTACAGTGTATGCTTTTTGCCTAAGAGAAGGCCTTAGGGACTTCTGTTCATTTTTAAGGGCTTTTTCTTAAATAGCTTATGTTTATCTTTTTATGATTGAAACAGACATTAGAAAAGACAGTGAGACAGTCTGTGTAGGCCTGCACATTTATGTCACCTTGTTCCTGCACTCTGTGCTGGCAGTACACAAGCTGACTGTGTTGCTGAAGCCATAAGACTGTAGGACTTTGTGCTTATAGGACCATCAAGCAGTAGATTTTTCACATTAAGGTACTGGCAGAGCTTAGTGTCTGATTGTCTGCATGATGGTGTAGTTATGCCTTCAAATGAATTGACTGCAAGCAGAAATATGAACACCAGAAATGATTCAACTGGTGAACAGAGGAAACTGAAATTATGGTTCAGTGCTGAAGTTGCATGAATAATCTTCCCTATCTCATGTGTTTGCTCAGTTTATTATGGAGGTCACTTTCTTTTCTATCTTGAAAAGCATTTTTATACTCTGCTATAACATGTTTATAGAAACTTCACTTTAGAAAAAGAGAAAAATAAAAAATGCTTTTTAAGACAAAAGTTTGATTGGAGACTTGTAATAGAAGAATAAAAATAGAAAAGCTTTATATTGTCTCTTTATTTGTCTGGTGGCACTTCACAAGAAATACATCCAAATCTGGAGTTTCAGAAGCGATACAAATTAAGAACAGTGTTCTGTTCAGCGGTAGACAGACACAGGAAAGGGATGGTGCAAAAACTTGAAAGTGAATCAAATAAAACAGCAAAAATGTATGTGTTGTTCACTGGTGTGAAGTATTCTGTATGATACGGAGTTCATGTTTATATAAAGCCTAACAGAAAATAAAAATTCCCTTTATTTTCCATCAATTTCAATTAGCTCTCAGAAGTTATGGCTTGTTAATTTTTCACTTCATAATGAATAATGCCATTTGATTATAAGATGTGATAACAAAAAAAAAATCATGTAGAAACTTCTGTTGTGATAGCATATAAATAATTAGATAGGGATTATCATTAGATTATTTTAACATAGCATTATTTGATTACCTGAACTCTTATTGTAGGTTTGTATTAGACAATGAAAAGGAAAATGCAACAGTTAGGCCAAGGGTTTTGTTGTTTGTTATGTCTTAATTTTAGTTTGTCAGTTGATCCAATGTATTAGTCACCATGGTTTCAACTGAATCTAAAGAGAGCAAACACATTGAGAGTCTAATGGAGGAATAATATTTCCTTTTTTAAAAAACCACTATCTATCTATCTATCTATCTATTATATATATATATATATATATATATATGTTTTTTCTGCAACTTGCAGAACAGAAGTGCTGATCTCTTCCTTTAAAATGCATCTGTGGTCTCAGAAGAAATAACTCCTTTCTGTTGGTTTAGTTTACTTTTCCCAAAATTAGCTTCATTGACATTTATGATTAATCAGGTTTTAAAGATGCTGACATTTAAAGTTGATCCTCCTTTTAGGTTTCTGTGGCTGAACTCAGGTTACAATTCTTTTCACCTGTTTTTTCTTTCAAATAGTCACTGTTGTTTAACTATTACATTTAGAATATAGTAAACTTATATATCTGTTCTAAAACAATATTTGAAGAGACAGAGGAAAGAAACTTTATTTACCTTTTTGACTATTTGAAATGAAAGAGTACATTTGGAAATAAAGATAGCAATGTGGGATATTTATTCTTGGGTTGGTTTTGTTTTTTTTTTTTTTTTATGATTTCTTGAAGAATTGATGTTGTACTACCTAAGATTGTTATTACAGGTGTACCACATGAGGAGTGTATCCTTATGCTGGAAAACCAGATATCCTTATTTCTTTTGGTCTTAGTTTATTTTTGTTTTTAATGAAAGATGCTCAAAAAACCCCCCAAACCCAACCAACTTTCTGCCTGTGGCTAAGCTTTCAGTGGGAGGGGTGGAGGATGGTCCCAGGAAGCCCAGCAGATGGGTCCCTTTCTGATCGATGGGCCTCAATACCTTACATGCTAGCTACAAGTAAGTTAGAAGTTAGTGAGTTCACAGGAATTTTCACTATACTTCTTTGTAGCCATTGAGTATTTAACTGGTTGATTTTGATGTAACTGATGTCTTCATTTGATTGTAAAATCTGTGTAGGTATAGGGTATATAATGAGAAAGTATATTCCAGGGGAAGTTGCTTACAAATCTTTAAAGCAGTTCACCAGTTCCCCTTCTGTTTGTGTTTTCTGTAAAAAGAGCACAAGAAAGTTACTAGGAAAGCTATTCTCTTCCTAATGAAGAATTATAAGTTGAATTAGTACAATAATTATGTCAGTGCTTTGATGTGGGGGAGAAGCATCTAGACCTATACTGGTGGTAGTTGATAAAAAAAAAAAAAAAAAAAAAAAAAAGGCATTTTGTTGATCTGTAGCTTTTACAAAAAAAAAAAACTGGAATTATTTTTCAGCTGCTGTTGTCTTGAGCTGAAGTTATGCTCACTATTCTTCCATACGCAATTTAATTTGTTTCCATGAAGCTGATTTTCCCCTTGTATTTTTTTTCTAATCCATCTTGCTATGTTTACACATATGCAAATAATATTTTTTAAAATGGCATATTTTTATTAAAGTACATTTTCTGAATAATGAAAATCTTTGCTCTCTGGAGCTATTAGGGATAATTGTGCTTTTGCTTCCTTGTAGTGGGGGAAGCCAAAAAGAGAAAGTAAACACACACACACACACACACACACACACACTTATATACTGAAATCATGATGTACTGGGGTAATATAAGAGAGAACCCTGAAGAAATAACCTTTCTGCAACAGTGCTTTTCTGTGTCTGGCTAACTCCAGTAGAAACATAGAATAAACATACTCTGTGACAGATGAACTGAAGCTGTGATGCAGTGGGACTGAAGAAAATTAGATGTTTGAAAAGAGCACAGCTTTAGAGAAGACTAACTATATCATAGCAAGGGGACAAGAGATAGGAAAAGTCTTGTGTAATCCTTGGACTTTATATTACTACACACACGATAAATGTTGCAGATTATTTAGAATAAATTCCTTTGAATGCATTTTATTTTTAAAAAGAGACATTTAGGCTACTGCTTTACATTAAGAAATCTTAGTACTTCCATTAATTTAATATGGGCTTCACATGTTTCAGGATGAAGACATAATCTGTATCTGAATTAAATTTAACTTGTATTTAGCACCATATTTCATTGAGAGGACAGTAGCATAATTTGGGAAAAAAATGCACTTGCTTATTATTAGTGTAACCATTTAAGGGGGCATAGGAAAGCTTTTAAATGAGTGATGCATAGATGTTAGAGGAGAAATAACATTTGTTATTTCTGTCCAACTGGAAATCTAACATCACAGAAGTACATGTGTTTACAGTTTAAAGGCTGTCTTCAAATACAAGTATGGAGCTGGAAATATCAGTTACTAATCAGTTGATTAGATTCTGGAGAATAGAGAAGAAATCTGCAGAGGGCCACATCTACAGGTGATATTTCCATATGGATGGGTTAGTTAATGCACCTATTTACTAACCTGCATACTTTATTATCAGTAGTAATTATAACTTCTCAAAGTTGGGCATGTGACTATACTTGGGGAAAAATGTATTGCAGATAAGTTGTCTATACAATTGTCAAAATGGAGCAGAAAGCTTAGATCTCATGGGAAATGCAAATCAGAGATGCTAGGTGTGAAAGGAAAGATTTAAATGAACATGAGGAGTAGAAATGTTTTGAGGATGCAGGGACCAGACATAAATATGATAGTGAATCAGGAGGATGGGAATAAGATCACTTTAGTATAACCAGGTGTGAAAAGTAGGGTAAGAATTGATACAGTTGGAAGATTAAAACTAAGAATTATTCTCAAGTTGGTTCAAAGAGCCAAAAGTCAACTGGAGGCTTATCTATGTGAAACTAATATCCTGTGTCCAACAGAGTTTGGATTCAGGCCAAGAAGGAGAGCTTAAATGATTTTACAGACATAAAGGGATTTTCTCTTATGAATTGATAAAGACCAGACATCCACTCTCATTCTCCATTAGACACTGCTAATTGTTTTTTTCGGGAGAGGTATTCAGCATTTAGAATGCTGCAGCAAAGAAAGATTGAAACCCCTGCATAGGAATCTCAAAACTTGCACGGAATGAAGAAGTATGTTTCCCTCTTACAGACTTATGTGTTTTCACTGATCCCTGCATTAACCTTCCGTAGAAGACTGGATTGGATTGAAGTTTCTACCCATTAGGCTTGAGGTGTTCATTACTCTGGGTTCACAGCATTAATAGATAAAGCTGTGGTATTAACAACTGTGACTGACAGCTCCCCTCCTCTGCCCAGTCTTACTTGCTTTAGTAATTGCAAAAGAGAGAAACTGAGCTATCTTTGGGGGCTGGCTTAAGCCAGTTGGATACCTGCTTCAGAAATTAAAACTACACCATTCAGTGACAAGAGTATATTTCTTTGACTTCGATTTGATTTTTTTTTTTTTCCCCCCCAGGAGTGTAACTCCATGTAAAAAAGAAAATGTTGCCCTGTGTGCTTTCCTCTCACTTACAGACAGTTTAAAATAATAAACATACATAATGTTGGGAATATTGCTTAATGAGCTTCTAATAGGTGCATTTATTCAATGATGTTGAACCCATTTTTGGCATATTTTGAGAAAAGCATAATTTGATGACGGAACAGGTATATACCTTGAGGAATATTCTATGATTTTTGTGTGGAGAAGGAACGTATCACATATAGCAAGAATTTTCTTCTACACTAACTGATTGAAATATGCAGTAAGACAACATAAATATTAATATATTAGTCCATATACCTACATATATGCATATAGATAAACAATTAAAATGTGTATATTTGTCTTTCAGGGGTTGATAAGCTGATCCGTCATTTACACAAACACAGCATACCCATAGCTGTTGCCACAAGCTCAGCTGAAGTGACATTTCAGATTAAAACAGCCAGCCACAAAGAATTCTTTGGTCTTTTTCATCATATTGTGTTGGGAGATGACCCCGAGGTGAAGCGTGGCAAGCCACAGCCTGATGCATTTCTAGTTTGTGCAAAGAGATTTCAACCTCCTGCACCTCCAGAGAAGGTAAGAAGGAGAGGAAACAAATTAACTGAAAAGTTAGGAATACTCTGTTTGGGCTGTAATTGGATTTTTTTTTTTTAACGTGATAAATACTTAGATTAAGATTTAATATAAACATTATAAAAATCAGCAACCTCTGTTTTCAAAGACGTTTATGCTGTTGAAGCAAGATATTGGAAAGCATAATTTACCCCCACTATGTATAATATTTGTAATGTAGATTGCTCTGATTTACTACATGGTAGTGTGCAGTAATAGGAAAGTGTAATGATTTTCTGCTCTATGAATAAATCTGAAAGCTTAGCTTCACTACTCAAAAGTTTGGAAACTGTTATTTAAACATAGCTCAGTTAATTTTTCACACATTCATGGCTGATTTACCTCTTAAGTGTCTAAACATTGAAGATACTTCTTTGTATAGAGTGTATATATTTTTCCTAAACCATCTCTTTCCTCTTGCATTCTAAATCTCTGAGATCGTAACTCTTGTTTTCTGAATTAAAACCAATCAGTTTGAGCAATCTTTCTCAAATAGTAGAGGTGCTTAGTTTCTTCCTCTTATCTATAACTTTCCAAACTTGATTCTGAAATAGAAATCTGTAGGGAGAATATATGAAAAATAAATTGAGAGTTAGTTAAAATAATGTCTTTGCTTTTCTTTTAAATTAAATTGCCATTCTCCTTAAAATATTTTTTCTCACTTCTTGTCTGTCCCAAATGGAACGTAAGTTCTGAAGTTTTGGAGTTTCGCTATGACAGAAAAATGTGTGACATACTTACTTTTAAGGAACAACTTTAGGTGGATTAGACTGTTATTAATGTTTTCTCAGTAGGATTATTGAGGGAAAAAATGGTTATACAAATACGTGCAAAATGATTGGCTAAGATTCTTCAGCCTTTCATACTTTCAGAGTCTAAATGGTATTTGTGATGCCTGGGACTGCAAAGTGAATTAAGTTTGATGCAATGTGGCGTACCATCAACAGTGTTAACCAAACAGGTTTTGGTTTGTTTGGGTTTTTTTCTGTTGCAAGTTTTCTTGACATTCTGTGTATGTGCATCAACTTCATTTGAAAGTTAGGTGTTCAGAAAAGATACACCAAATGTACATGATTGTGTTCATGCAGATGGTGGTTGTGTGGACATGTTAGGTACTTGATTGAGTAGGCCATGTATGTATGGTTCCAATTGTTGAAGAATCTGAGCAGCAAGACTGTAAATCTCACCTTAGAGTCAAGTAGTTATGAATTTTGATTGTGTTGTCAATACTCAATTGAGAGCAAATATTGGGAAGCAGCCCAAGGTTTTGGAGGGAGTTCAAAACAAGCTTAAACAACAGCTTAATGTTGCTTTCATATGAAATTACACTTTCTGGCTTAACTGTGTGTCTAGGAAACAAAAAATCAGAGTAAATTCCTGTAATGTATGCTGTGCTTCTTGAAAAACAGGATGAGAGGTGTGGCTTTTCATTGGTATGGAGGTGTGGCTGAAAGCTCTTCTGTAATTCTGAAAGTAAAAGATCAAAAAGTATTGAGAATTTACATAAAGCTGGATTGTCACTGGTATCTGATGGAGAGGTAAGGAAATTGAATGTCTGCTGTGTTAATGACAAAGTAAACTATTATTTCATCTCAGAAGCCTAAGAGTGCTATCCAGAGGAACAGCTTTCCCAAAATGCTTATTTTATTTGGCTTTAATTCAGAAAAATCACAAGGTGGTGATCATTAAAAAGGGCAAAAACATTGGAAAAAAACCCAAAACCCAAAACCAAACCAAAAATAAAACCAGTGACACTGTGTTGTAGATATTTTTTATTTATTCAGCAGTAAGTAGCCTTAGCTGTGTTAACAATGAAAAAGTATATGAAGATAATAGTAGCACCTGTATTATACAGAGTAATTTAAACTTTAAAGGTAAGTTAAACAAAATTTCAGAGTGTTCATGGTAGTTTTGTATAGTTATTTAACTTTTCTTTGAAGAATAGCATAAATCTTTAAACCCATGCTTTTCTTTTATATGAAGTTTAACATCATTCAGTGTTCCCTTAGTGCAGATAATTGAGCTTAACTTTTTTTTTGTCACATCTACAAAAGTCAGAAATGTCGAAGTGTGGGAATTTAACACAAGCACAGAACTCCCAGGAAGAAGAAAATCAAAACAGTGCATGCGAAACTATCTGAAACATTCATGACCAATTGCAGTGTAGTGATGGCATCTGCTGTGTTTCTTCCCAAGTGGTGAACTAATAGAGCTACAGGCTCGGATTTCATGCTAAAAATCGGTAATATGCGAGTTGGCAGCAAAATATTGGGAGGTATAGGTAATGGCTCCATAAGCAACTAAATGGACTCAAGAGAAACAGATTACTGGAGTATTTGGTGCTTAGGCCTGTACATCTATGCTATATGTGATTTGAATTTTTTCTGTTGGATTAGATTTAGTCAGATCCCTGGCTGAAAGCTGTATAAGGTTCTTTGGAGCTGTGTGTCCTTTTAAGCATTGGAGATTGCTTAATATGCACCTGGAAAGGACTTCCCCTGTAGCTTCCTGCTAAAGCAACTAAGTGCATACCAAAACTTAGTGTAACAGACCATCAAGTAGCAATTGATGACTGTCAGATTTGCTTCAAAACTTCACTGCTGCTCTAAGTGAAAAATACAGTGTAGCCATAGAAGGCTAAATCCAGAATTTAGCTGTAGTGGCATACCAGCCTGTGACTGTTGCTATTCAGGCATAATTCTACAAGTAGGCAGTTCTAAAATGATAAAAAATTGATAGGATGTCTGCTTTACTGTCATTGAAGGATGTCATGATTGTCCATCTGGGAATTTCTTTACCTTTTGGTTTGCAGTCTTTGGTTGACAATTCTGTGATTCTGTTACTAGGAACTTAATAAGCATGGTGATGGAACCATAGCACAGGAATTTCAAATAAGATACACTCTGCAAATTCAGTCCAGGTCTTACTGTCTTGTGATGCATGAAGTTTCACATGAACTTCCAACTAGTAACAATGAACTGTCATATGAGTAAATAATTAAATCAGTCAGGTAATCAAAATGTGATCTGAAGATTAAATACTAGAAATTTTGTGTTACACTAAAATTCCTTTTTTTTTTTTCTTTTTTTTTTTTTTTTTTATTTCCTACCTTTATATGATCATCATTTGGAAAATAAGTTGTTTCATATTTTTCTAGAGTTACCTAGTATTTTACTATGTTTCAAATTTTTACAATGGGAATTCCTTTTAAGGGAGCCTTTAAAATGTGCTTCAGAAGCAAAATCAGAGTTTCATTGATGATACCACTGTGAAATTTAGTAAATTCGACTATATATGCCAAGGGATGTCAAAAGACAACAAGAAAGGCTTCTCTAAGTAAATAGGAGACAAAAGGAAGACTAGGGAAAATGTAGACCCATTGCTGAATAAGATGGGGGACTTGGTTACATAGGACATGAAAAAGACTGAAGTACTATATGTAACAAGTCAGGAATTTCAGATCCCAGAGACCAGAGAGAAGGGCTGAGCAAGGAAGATGTACCCTTGTTGAAAGAGGATCCGGTCAGGGAGTAGGTCCATGGGCCCCGATGGGATGCACCCTCGAGTGCAGAGGGAGCTGGCAGATGTCATTGCAAGGCCATTCTTGATAATCTTTGATCAATCATGGTGACTGGGAGAAGTGCTTGAAGATTGGAGGAAAGGAAATGTCACTCCTGTCTTGAAGAAGGGCATAAAGGAGGACCCAGGCAACACGGACTACTCGGTCTCACCTCGATCCCTAGAAATGTGATGGAGCAACTAATCCTGAGAACCATTTTCAGGCAAGTAAGGATGAGCAAATCATCAGGAGTAGTCAGCATGGCTTCACCAAGGGGAAGTCATGTTTGATCAACTTCATAAATTTCTATGACCGGCCTGGCAGATGAGGGGAGGGCAGTGGCTGTTGTCTACCTGGACTACAGTAGGACCTTTGGCACCCTCTCCTATAAGATCCTCACAGAGAAGTTGTTGATGTATGGTCCGGATTAGCAGACAGCAAGGTGAACTGAAAACTGGTTGAACAGCTGAGCCCAGAGGGTGGTGACCACCAGCGCAAAGTCTAATTGGATGCCAGTGACTAGCGGTGTGCCCCAGGGGTGAATATTGAGTCCAGGGTCCAGTCCTGTTTAACATCGTCATTAATGACCTGGTTGATGGGCCAGTTTCCTGATGAAGACAATGTTCAGAGGGATCTTATTAATGTGTATGAATACCCGAGGAAAGAGTGTAAAGAAGACAAAGCCAGGCTGTTTCAGTGGTTGCCAGTCACAGAACCAAAGGTGATGGGCACAAACAAACACAGGAGACTCTGAGCATGAGGAAACACTCTTTTGCTATGAGGGTGACTGAGCACTGGCAGATGTTGCCTGGAGAGGTAGTGGAGCTTTCCTCCTTGGAGATATTTAAAAGCTGCCTAGACGTGGTCCTGGACAAGCAGACTATAGATGCCCTTGCTTGAGCAGGGGGGTTGGACCAGATGATCTCAAGAGGTCACTTCCAACCTCAGTCATCCTGTGATTCAGTAATACATTTCACAGACTTGATCTGGGAAAAAAATGAGGAAACAAAGTTTTTCTCAATATTTTTCTGTTCCATTTTGATTTAAAGGGTCAAATTACTTAAAACCATTCTTTTGGAATTTATAAATATTAGAATATTAATTTCAGGTTTAAGAGTTCATAATAACCTGTTGTTTATGTGCTTCTGTGTGTATTTATATAGGAGAGATATATCAACTATAATTTTCAATGTTATCTTGAAGCAGTTTTGTTTCATAGTAACAAAAATGTTATAATAATTTCAAATATGGTTCTAACTCAGAGGGTTTCAGACATTTCCATGCAAATATGTATACATACTTCTGATATGTCTTTAAAAACACATTAATTAAATACTTACCTACTTGAGGATGTGATGGGTCAGGGCCTTTCTTTCCAGTGTTTTTGTTGTCTTGCCTATAGCAT